ACCAGCCCAGTGCCGCCCACAATGCCATTGAAGAGGTCGAGGGGTTCGAGCTCTTTGGCAAGCCCATGAGGGTTGCCATGGCGCGAATGCAGAGCGACAAAACAGTCGAGATGAATGGCAATACTGATGAGTTTGAAGCTCATAAACGGCACAGGCAGGCAGAAAAGGGTAAGACAAGTTTGAATAGCCCAGATGGCGTCCTCAGCACTCACACTTCTACAGACAAGCGCAAGGCCCTCGAGGCAGCAGACGAACAAAGGCATCTCAAGAGGGCCGCTGCTGGCGCACCCGAAGCTCGACCGTCGAAATCGGCCAAGCCGCTGGGGCTGAAATCTACAAGTGCCCCAGCTTCAGCTGTTGTACCCGACGAATACTTGCCTCCGAATAAGATCCTCTTCATACAAAACGTCCCCGATGAGTACGACATTGATGCCCTCAATGCCGTCTTTGGCCGGTTTGATGGTTTCCGGGAAATTAGACTGGTTCCAGGTCGACGTGGAATCGCTTTTGTTGAATATGAGAATGAACAGGGGGCTATCACGGCAAAGGAAAATACTGCTGGCATGGCTTTAGGGGATAAACCCATCAAGGTTACATACCAGCGTCAATGATATGTGTAGACTATTAATATAAGGGCGTTTGCGTTTCGGTATATACTGCTGTGGTATGGGGTGTTCATCATCTACGATTACAAAGGACAAAGAACAAGAAGAAAACAATTATCGAGGAGCCCTCGATATAGGATAGCCCATGAGCCCAGCATTTAAAAAATCACGTCGTCGTCATCCTCCGCGGCTAGAATATCTGCCGGACCGGAATCTTGCTTCGAAGCACCTGATTCATTCTTCTCCATTGCTTCTCTCCTGGCTTTCATCTCGGCATCGGCGGCGGCATTATCTCGCTGTTTCTTGTTGGCGACCTTTAAAAGAGACCAACAGCATTAGCGATCACTCTAAAAGATGATAAGTCTTGTGCACCTGTACTGACCTTCTTCAAGCGGTAAAATTCCTCACGGTCCAGCTCGTCTAGTTCAGAATTGATGTATTTGATGGTGTTTTCCGTCCGGGGAATAATAACGTGCTCAATTGCGTTCACTAGATGGAATTAGTCAATGTGATTCAGTAGAGCATTATGGTGAGACGCGAACCTCTTCGATTGACAACCTTGATAACCTCATCTAATATGACAAAGGCAGTTTGTAGGCTTGCTAGCTCTACCAAGGCTTCGACAGCACGTGCATATGTTTCTCTGCATCGCTGAACTTGCTGTCCACCTTTACCCAACCCAGTAAGTCCAAAGTCATTGTTGCCCTCTGTCAAGTAACTCTCAAATGCTGGTAGGAGAACACCTGAAACGTTATCTTGCTTTGTGCGGATTCGAAATCGAGCTGATTTGGCGGATTCCTGAACTTGGTATCCGATGTCGCCGCCGACAGCATAGCTGACTTCGGCCAGTGAAAATGCCGCAATTTGCATGACGCGTCCCATCTTCCGCTTGGCCTCATCAATTCTTCGAGTTATTTCTAGAGCAATGTTAGTTCGTATGGTGAAGACGTCGGCGACTTGACAATAGCTGACCTCGGAAACGTCTAGTATAGCTCCAGTTAGCTGCAGTAACATAAAAAACATGTCATATCGGCATTATCTTCCTACTTTGTAAGTGCCTCACTTTTCCTTTTCAACAGGCTGTGACCAGTCTCAGCTCCCTTGAGCTTGGCCTTCATGATGCCGAGCGATTGCCGAGTAGGGAAGACGGCTTCGCGATCCTAATGGACAGTAGGATGTCAAGTTAATTGCTGTAGAGTGAATAGAGGACACACGCCAGGACTTACTGCGGCGCCAGACATATTTGCGAAACTGATCTGATGTTCTGAAGGTAACTGTTCTGATGATTTCCTTTGTTGTATGTCACTCGGGGATGTTTCGACAAGTTGCGTGCTTAGTGCTTGATATGTAGCTGCCCATGACTGCTAACCTACCTAATGAGGTAGCACGGCTGGAGCAACGCTTGTCCCCCTCCAAAGTCAATATCACTATAACCGGGTATCTTCCACCTGCCATTTACGCTAAGCAGGTACCTTCTTTATCGTGACAAGCCTAAATATTTCTGTCGCGATATCAGACTCAGCTGCAACCGTCGCGTTCTATGTGCTAATCCCCCGGCACCGGTTTCCCTACGATACCAGAATCATAATCATGGGCCACACTGCATAATTGCGACAAACGCCAGTACCGCAGCAGCCTCTCCAAACTCTTGGCAGAGAGAGAGAGCGAGAGAGAGAAGAGAGAGCGACCATGGCGGAAATCCAGCACACACCGTCGGAGCTTTATCTTGTTGTGAGTTCTCGAGAGGCAATGCGTTTTTCCGATTCATTTTCTAATGCTATCTCCAGTCGAATGAGGATTCCGTTTACGAGCAAGACATTCTCCGCGATCCTACACGTGTGAAGCCATGGCTCGAGTATATCGATTTCAAGACTCGCCATGGAAGCGTCCTAGAGCGAGCTTTTGTAATGGAGCGTGCTTGTGTTAAGCTGCCACGATCATACAAGCTCTGGAAACTCGTTAGTCAAGGCATCAACGTACCGTGGCCTCATTGCTGACTTAGTGGCAGTATCTTTCATTTCGTGTGAAACATACTTCAAAACTCAACCCGGCAATCCATGCCGCCGAATATCGAAAAGTCAACGCTCTATTTGAGAGGTCTTTGATTCTCTTACATAAGATGCCGTCGATATGGGAAATGTATCTCAAGTTTCTAATGAAGCAGCCCGTGGTCACACTCACTCGACGGACATTCGACCGAGCCCTTCGAGCACTACCAATTACGCAGCACAATCGCATATGGTCACTATATCTTTCCTTTGCTAACGCAGCTTCTGGGGAAACCGCCGTCAAAACATGGCGAAGATATATGCAAGTTCATCCGGAAGACGCCGAGGACCTCATCGAGCTGCTCGTCCTACGAGGCGGGTATACTGAAGCAGCAAAACGATACATAGACATTCTGAACGATACGCGGTTCTCAAGCAAGCGAGGAAAGGGGCACTATGAGCTCTGGAGCGAAATGGTCGAAATGCTCGTGGAACACGCCCCTGAGGTCGAAACAGGCTATGAAAATGGAATTGATGTAGAGGGTATCATCAGGTCTGGTATAGTTCGGTTTGGTGATCAAAGAGGAAAGCTTTGGGTTGGGCTTGCCACATATTGGATTAGGAGAGGGAGCTTTGAGCGAGCCCGTGACGTTTTCGAAGAAGGCATCACAACGGTCATGACAGTCCGAGACTTTACTCTCATCTTCGATGCCTATGCTGAATTCGAGGAGTCCATTATTGGCGCCTTGATGGATGCCTCGGCATCCCGAGCTGGGAAAGGTATTGAGAGTGAAGAATCAGACTTGGAGCTTGACATACGGATGATGCGTTTCGAGAATCTCATGGACCGTCGTCCATTTCTTCTTAACGACGTCCTACTCCGACAGAACCCTAACAATGTACCAGAGTGGGAGAAGCGAGTTGCTCTCTGGGGCGATAAGAAGGTTGAGGTTGTGCAGACCTACACCGACGCGATTACGACGATCAATCCGAAGAGGGCTGTAGGTCCATTTCACCAACTGTGGGCTAACTATGCCAAGTTCTACGAGCGGGGTGGGGATATTAGGAATGCTCGTATCATCATGGAAAAGGCCGTCAAAGTTCCGTTCAAATCAGTAGCCGAGCTTGCTGACATGTGGATCGAATGGGCTGAGATGGAACTTCGGAATGAGAATTTTGACGATGCTGTTCGGGTTATGGCTAAGGCTATTCAAGCGCCGAAGAGGTCCAACGTCGACTATTTTGATGAAGCTTTGTCTCCTCAACAGCGAGTACACAAGAGCTGGAAACTTTGGAGTTTCTACGTGGACCTGGTGGAAAGCGTTTCAACTTTGGATGAAGTGAAAAAGGTATATGAGCGCATCTTCGAACTCCGGATCGCAACTCCTCAAACCGTTGTGAACTATGCCAATCTTCTGGAGGAGCATAAATATTACGAGGAGTCATTCAAGATTTTCGAGCGTGGTCTGGATCTCTTCAGCTACCCAGTGGCTTTTGAGCTGTGGAACCTGTACCTCACCAAAGCTGTCGACAGGAAGATCGGGATCGAGAGATTGCGGGACCTCTTCGAGCAGGCAGTCGAGGATTGCCCGCCCAAATTTGCCAAGACTATCTATCTGATGTATGGAAATTTGGAGGAGGAGCGTGGCCTCGCACGCCATGCAATGCGGATCTACGAGAGAGCAACGCGTGCAGTTTCTGATGAAGATCGGGCCGACATGTTCAACTTCTACATAACCAAGTCGGCTTCTAACTTCGGTCTACCATCAACAAGACCCATTTACGAACGAGCCATTACAGCTCTCCCTGACAGCGAAGCGAAAGAAATGTGTCTCAAATTCGCGGATATGGAGAAACGACTGGGTGAGATTGATCGGGCAAGGGCAATATATGGACATGCGTCGCAGTTCTGTGACCCTCGAACAAACGTCGACTTCTGGACCAAGTGGGAACAATTTGAAGTCCAGCATGGCAACGAGGATACATTTAAAGAAATGCTACGAATCAAGCGCAGCGTCCAGGCAAAATACAACACTGATGTGAACTTCATCGCATCGCAAGCTCTGGCACGCAGCCTACAGAAACCCGAGGGCTCCCCAGGTGTGGAGAGTACAGATCCCATCGCAGCTCTGGAAAAGCAATCCTCAACGTTACACGGCTTCGTGTCTGCTAGCACGGCGCCCAAGGAAATGCATAGGGCACAGGATGTTCAGCCATCTAATCCAGATGCTATTGATATAGACAATCTCGACGACTAGGTATATAAAAAAGCCACATTCGGAAAGAGTTTTGCTAGGATGTTTACGTGAAAAATAGATTTATTATGCTTGCTTCCAAAACTCCACGGCTTCAACTCTTTGCTTGCTATGAACCGACGACCATCTATGAACTGCAAGGCAATTTATTTGCCACCTTTCATCTCGGCAATCTTAGCATGATACTTTTCAGCATAGTTCTTATCGACGTGGCCATCGCGAGAGCCAGGCGTGGCATATATTGATCCTTTGCGCTTCTGAAAGCGACTGGGTGGTACTTTTGCAGCATCTGGGATCTCGTTAGCGATATTATCACGCGACGATTTTTAGCTCTGCTCTGTGACAGCAAATCTATCCATTTGATGATTGTGGCACTGGAGGGCTTTAGAAACGAACCCCATTCATCACTGAGCCTTCGATCTTTGTTGCCGCTTGGCACAGGTGGCTCGCCTGCTTCAGCAGCGGTGGCGGTGCTCGTCTGCTGTTGTTCTAGGCTTGTTACCTTCTCCATGAGGCCGTCTTATATTGGATTGATGCTCTTCTTTGTTGGATGTGGAAAAGGGTCCGGAACGGTGGTAACCCCAACTATTTTAACACGCACTTGGGTCCGTGGGATGAGGTACCCCTTTATATACTCATGACGGGGGATCTACGGTTTCAATTACACTACGTGATGGTGTGCCAGAGCATCTATCGTCAGTGAATCCTCATCTCTTCCCCTGGATTGGATAATGGCCTGCAGCGATGTTCCTTGCTTGAGATTACCCCGCAAAATAGCCTTCGCGGACGGCAAATGATGGGTCGTTGAGATCGAGCACTGCCACTATTCCCTGCTTATTGACGTCACTATTTAGTCTTTTAATTGCTATTGAGAGAATGCACGAGGACTAGATTACTTCCTTAGATAATTGATTTAATGGAAAATAAAATAAATTTAGTATTTCTATATTATTTATATTATTTACCTAAATAGTAAAAATAATATAATTAAGTAAATAATATTTTACTAAAGAGAAATAAATACTTTAAATTTATATTATATATTATATTTTTATTAATTATGTACTTAAATTAATATTAATAAAATTTAATTATATATAAAAAAAAACTCGTTTATTTAATTATAATAATATTTAATACTTTTTATTTTATAATTTTTATTTAATATATATTTTTAATATTTATTAAGTTATTATTAATTAATAATTTATAATTATTTTAAATTTATAATCTTTTTTAAAATAATAATTTTATTAATATAAATATTTATTTATAATTATTATAATTTTCTTAAGTATAAAAAATATATTATTTTAAAAAAAATTAATTATAAAAAAACTTTTATATATAATAATTTTTAATAAAGAAATTTATTAATTTCTTTAATAATTTTCTTAATATTTTTATTTAACTTAAAGTTTTTAATATTATTTAATTAATTTAGTTTATATTTTATTTTATTTAATTTTAGTATTTTTTTAATATTTTTTTATTATAAATTTATAATTTTATTAATTATAAATAAATTAGGTAATTAATAAAAAAGTATAATATTTTTACTATATAAGTATAATCTTATATAAATATAACTTTTAACTTTATTTAATTAATTAAAAAAAAATATTAACTTAAATAATATTCTATTACTTTTACCTTAAGTATTAGTATTTTATTACTATTATCTTTTTAATTTATAAATTAAAAAAATATATTAATATATTTAACTTTTTACTTTATAAATTAAAATAATATTATTACTTTTTTAATTTATAAATTAAAAAAGCTTATAATAGCTTTTCCTTTATTAATTATATTATTACTTTTATTATAATAACTAAACTTTTATATATTAACTTTAAATAAGTTAAATAATAATATAGCTTAAGTTTTAGTAATTAATTATAATAAAAAATAAAATTATAAACGTTATTTTTAAAATATTAATTATACTTAAGGATAATATAGTAAATTATAAAGCTAAGTTATTAAAATAAATTCTAAAAGTAATTATATTAAATTTATTAATTTTTAATATTATAATTTTTTTATAAATAATTAATTTTTATTAATAATTTTTTTATAAATAATTAATTTTTATTAATAATTTAATTTTAAATATTAATTAATTTTATAAATTTAATAATTATAATATATTTAATAACTTTTTTATTATATATTTATAATAATTTTTAATTTTATTACTTTTTTATAATTTATAAAATATTTATAAACCTTTTTAAAACTTTTACTTTAATTATAATATATATTTTTATAATAGCTTCCTTTATAAATAATTATAAAGGTAGTAAATAAAAGTACTTATATTAAGCTTAAAGCTTAATATATTTACTTTTTTTTTTTTTAAATTAAAATTATAGCTTTTTTTTAATTAATTATTAAGAAAAACTAATTTTAAATTTATTTTAAATATTACTTATAATATTATTAATAATAATTATAAATTTATTATTAACTTTACTTAGTTATATAAATATATATAAATATAATAAAATAAATAAAATTAATTACTTTTAAATTTAAAATTATATAATTTTTTTTATTATATTTACTATTATATTTATTATATATATAAA